CCACCCCCCTCCCAATTTTGAAAGAAATTACGGTGGTTTCATGCATTTCATGTGGAAAGACCAACAGTTTGAATCTGCTATCTGTGGGAGAAAGGTATATAGTTTCTTCCTGTAAAGATTAACAGTCTTAGAAAGAGTTAGAGGGTCTCTGTGACTTGCAGCTGACTAGATTATATTTGGAATTGACTATATGACAACAGAGCTCTGGTGGCCTAGTGGCAAGAAGCTGTGCTGCAATCCCGAATGCATGCGGTTCAAGGCCACCAAATGCTCCGCAGAAGGACAGGCACTCTGAAAACCCAGCAGTGGGTCAGCTATGGATCAGTTCTGACTCGATGGTCAACAACAACACATGTGACAATAAGATGACAGGAAGTTGGGCTTCTTGTTGTTGTGTGCCCTCGAGTTGCCTGTGGCTCACAGCGACCCTATGTACAATAATACCTTTGGACTCTTCCCTATCTTGAGCCAATCTCATTATTTTCAACAAACCTACGCCATTTCCCCTATCACTGAGTCAGTCCATCTCATCGGGGGTCTTCCTCTCCTGCGCTGCCCCTCCACCCTTCCAATCATGATATCCTTCTCCAAGGACTCTTCCCTGCTGCCAACATGCCCAAAGTATGTGAGATGGTGCTTCAAAATCCTTGTCTCCAAGCAGGAGCTTGGTTTCACCCTCTTTAGGACAGATCTCTTTGTTCTTTTAGCAGACCATGATATGTCTAGTATCTTTCTCCAGCACGACAACTGGGCTTGGTTTTATTTTTAATTTTGATTATAAAAAACTCAACTTAGAGACTTTGAAGGGTTCTTTGTGCTTCACCCTTATGATTTCTGTACTTAGTGATTGTTATCCACAGAGGCAGAGTAAGGGAATAGCTATGGGACTCTAGGGGAATAATAATACTTTTATCTTTTGCAGACAAATACCATTCAGGCTGAGTGAACCATCTAGTTCATTGAGATAAAATATCAATAGAACTGGAAAAAAAGAGAGTCTAGCTAATTTGCATCTATTGATTATTACACATCAACACTGCCAGGGAATTCAGTAATTTTAAAAAATTTTGTACCTCATGTTTCCCTTTATTGTCTATTTAAGTGAGTTGTTGTTGTTGTGTATAGTCGAGTTGGAACTGACCCACAGTTGACCCCCCTGGCAGGTTTTCAGAGGCAGTTAATTGCACGGGAGGAGAGTGCCCATCCTTCTCCCGCACAGCGGCTGGTAGCCTCAAACCACATGCTTTCAAGATTGCAGTGCAGCTTCTTGTCAGTAGGCTACCGGAGCTCCCATCTAAGTGATAGATTACTATATTAATTTGAAAACGGTTGGTTGACAAATTGGAGCAGTTGCACTGCTACCATCTAGTGGACAATTCATGTAATTAATTATCCTCTAACTTGACAACTTTCAAATCCTGTTTCCAAAGCATTATTTTATTTTCCCCCTTCCCATTAGTATTATTTTCTTGACTAAAATGCTGTAATAGGAATTTTAACATATTGTATTATGTATGAAGCATCATTTTCCTTAAATTTACATATAAAATAATTGTTGCTTCTTGTTGTTGTTAAGTGCTGTTAAGTCGTAGAGGACTCATAGTGACCCTATGAATGAAAGAGCTGAACACTGTTCATAGGCTTTCCGGAGGTAAGCCTTTGCGGAAGTGGATGCCAGTCCTGCTTCCAAGCTTGTTTTAATCGTGGAGCTCCACCAAACACTGTCCACCATGGATAATCATTACCGCATTTGCCACATCAGTGTCACAATGTTTAGCATCACAGCAACTGTGAGTTAACTTACTCTATGATTTTGAAAAGATGCCCTCAAATTATGATCTAAACACATATTATAGTATTGAATTGGAATTTTGTAATTATAATTAGCACCTTCTGTTTTAATTTTGAAAAATTTTAAGTCATGTATTTTGTAAAATTATGGAGGAAATTATTTCCTTTTCCATTCTAGACTCATTGGGGCTGGTCAAGGTCTCTGCCACCCTTGCTTTTGATTTTTTACACTCCAATTTTGTGTCTTATACTGTTGTTGTTTTGTGCCGTCGAGTCACCTGTGACTCATAGTGACACTATGTACAATAGCCCTAAACCCTGCTCTGTCCTGTGCCAACCTTATTGTCTCCGACACATCTACCCTCATTACCCCAGTCACTGAATCGATTCATCTCATTGGAGTCTTTCTCTCCTGCTCTGTCCCTCCACCCTCCCAAGCATGATGTACCTCACCAAGGACTGATCCCTCCTTGAAACATGCCCAAAGTAGGTCAGATGAAGCTTCAGAATCCTTGCCTCCAAGGAGCAGCCCTGCTTCACCCTCTCTTGGATGAACCTGTTTGCTAGTTAAGATATTATTCCATGATTTTAAAAAGATGCACCCAAATTATTATCTAGGCACATATTCTTCTGTATTGAATTGGAAACTTGCATAACACTAGCAATAGCATTTTCTGTTTTTAGTTTGAAAAATTTCAAGTCATACATTTTGTAAAGTTTGAAGAGAATTGTTTTTTTTTCCATCCTAGACTCAGTGGGCCTGACCACAGTCTCTGTCACTCTTGCTATCTGTGTTCTACACTCCAGCTTGGTGTCACATAGCTTGGGTAAATTGTGAGGAGGCACCAGTCCTTGGAAAAAGGCATCATGCTTGGAAAGGTAGAGGGTATGTGAAAGAGAGAAAGACTTTCAACAAGATGCCCTGGTGTCAATGACAGCACCAATGGCCTTGACCATGAAGGAAGCTGACTCCAGCATGGCACAGATGGTGCTGTTCATATAGGGTCACTGTGAGTTGTATTTGACTTGATGCCACCTCACAACAGCAACAGCAAGGACCATGTGTTAATAAGCCTTTAATTATGTTGTTGTTGTTATGTGCCGTCGAGTCATTTGCAATTCACAGCAACCCTATGTACAACAGCCCTAAACTCTGCTCTGTCCTGTGCCAATCGCACTGTCTCTGATATACCTATCCCGATTACCCCAGTCACTGAATCAATCCACCTCATAGAGGGCCTTCCCCTCCTGCGCTGTCCCTCCACCCTCGTAAGCATGATGTCCCTCTCCAAGGACCGGTCCCTCCTTAAGTACCTTCTCATGGCTTTTGGACCAAATCCATCAAATGACCTCTAAGCTCTTCTTTCCTCTTCACCGTAAGTCCTCCTTGCCTCTGCTCTCAAATGTCCATCCTCCCAGCTTCTCTCCTGCACATACCTCTGCCCAGCACAGGGGATGCAAGACCCTCTAGTTTTTCTTCTGTTAAATTCTGATTCACTCCTCGTGTAGGATCACTTCCTGAGAAAGCCTTCCCTAACTAACTCCCCTCTCCCCATTTCAAGTTGTTAATTTCTTTTCACACATCTCGTAATGTCTCCTGCTAAATTTTCTTTGGCTCAATGACAGTTAAATTATCAATTACTATATTCTTAATGGAGGGAGCTCTGGTGACCTAGTGGGAAGGAGTTGCACTGCCAATCCAAAGGCAGGAGGTTTGAATCCACCTGCCGTGGTGTGGAGAATGATGGGCTATCTACTCCTGAACGATTTACTGCCTCCGAAAACCTGCTGTGAGTTGGTTCCCACACGATGATATACAACAACAACAACAACAACAACAACAACAACATATTCTTAATTGTCATTAATAAACTGAACAGTGTCTATCTTCCCCAATGGTATATATACCCATTTGAGGACAGAAACATTATCACTGCTTTGTCCTCAATTGCTTAGCAAAATGCTTGACATGCAGGATTCACTTCCCAAGATAACTTGCGTGAGCTGGGATAAAAGGGACCCTGAGGTGGGGACTGGTACCTGTACTACATTTCCCAAACTATAATTTTTTCCTTGCATCTCCTCTAACTCATAAGTCTCCCATTCTAGTTCAAGCATCCCTGCCTTTGGTTGATATCATGAAGCTTTAACCCCTCTGTGGCTGACACCATCGCCAACGCGTGTGTGTTTATGTCTTCATTTGCCTGCACCATTTCCCCAGTTCCCAAAGCAGACAATATGGTCAGGTTTTCTAATTATAATAACTCATTTTCACAATGCTGCAAGCTTGAAGATTCAAGTCATTTAATAGATACAAAAGCTTGAAAGAAAGACTGGGATCTGAAAAACCATCCGTGTAAACAAAACTGAGAATCTAAGAGAGGAGAAAAAGGGTGACGAGTGGGCATTTTGTAGCAAGGTTCTCCTTGGCCTTTTGCATCTGGGACTAGTACATGTGCTCCACAACATAGCTGGCCACGTGCTTGATGGCCAGCATTGTTTCCTCACAGGTGGCTCGGATCTGAGATTCTGGGAGGGCAAAGCCGTATCTGCCTTTATCCCGGAGTTCAAAGGTGAAGGAATATTTGATTCCTTGGTCATAAGCCCAGTCGTCAGAGCCCCCAGCAGCAGGATCTGAAATATGGAAGCAAGCAGAGAGGAAAAAATGTAACCAGGAAACAATACTCAGAAATTGGCTATCTAAAAGGGAGGTATTAGGGCATGAGGCATGAAGTAGCTGGTCTCGCTTCTGGCCACTAGACCACCGGAGCTCCCTAATTAGTAGTTAGATGTTTGTAAGGCAAAAGCGTCTTACAGTATACATTAATAAAATATAATGCAAAGGAAAGGTTGCATAAAACACAATGCACATGCATGAAACATACTGTATATGAATGATAAAAACATGAAATTTATTTTATTTTAAGATTCTGTTTATAACTGCCAAGAATTCATGGTGCAAAATATTGTAGGTAGGCCAGTTTTCTAGTTAACAGGATGATGGAGGCTATGGGAATAGTCTTTTGTTTGTTTGTGTTTTTAAATTGGTTTCATCTTACTCCTAAACCTGTTTTGTGGGAGTGATGTGTTTAAAATCTCAGAAAGTATGTTATTCTTTGAGTACCAAAAACATGTCTACCTGTGTTTAATTGGCTATGCAAAGGCATTTGACTGTGTGGGTCACAAAAAATTGTGGCTAACCTTGAGGAAAATGGGAATCTCAGAACACTTATATGAAACATATACTTGAACCAAGAAACAGTCCTCAGAACAGAGCAAGGACCCACTGCATGGTTCAAAATCAGGAAAGGAGTCCAGCAGAGATAAATCCTGTTCTCATACTTTTCAATCTGTATGCAGAACACAGAACAGATCATTCAGGAAACAGGGCATTATGATCAGTAGTGTGGCATCAAGATTGGAGGAAGACTCATTAGCAACCTACGGTATGCAGATGACACAACTTTGCTTGCTGAAACTGAAGAGAACCTGAAGCACTAGCTGCAAAATGTCGATGACTATAGTCTTCAATACGGATTGAAGCTCCACATCAAGAAGACAAAGATTCTCTCCACTGGGCTGATTGGCAGCACGATCAGAGATGGAGAAGAGATTGAGGTTGTTAGCAATTACAGCTTGCTCGGATCCACCAGCAGTCAGGAAATCCAAAGACAAGCTGCAACGGGATAATCTCCAGAGTGCTGAAGAGCAATGATATGTCAGTCTAGATTAAAAGGTGTGTCTAATCCAGGCCATGGTCTTCTCAATTACTTGTTATGCTTCAGAGAGTTGGACAATGACTAAGGATGACAGAAGGATCGATGCCTTCGAATTGTGGTGCTGGAGAAGGGTCTTGAACATACCATGAACTGCCAAGAAAACAAATAGGTCTGTCTTGGAGAGGGTGAAACCAAGTCTCTCCTTGGAGGCTAGGATTTTGAAGCTCTGCCTCACTTACTTTGGACTCAAGGCCAGGAGAGATCAGTCCTTGGAGAAGAACATCATGCTCCGAAAGGTGAATGGAGAGCACAGGAGAGGGAGACCCAAGATGAGATGGATTGATAATAGTAACTGGGGCAATGGGGGTTGGTGTGTCAGAATTAATGAGACTGGCTCAGGAGAGGGAAGGGTTCAGAGCTGCAGTATATAGGGTCTATATAAACCGCAGGCGACTCAATGGCACATAACAACAATAACATACTATGGCATGTTTGGAAGCATGAGTGACATCCACTTCCTAAACAACATGCCTCCAGAAACTCTTTGAACTTTAATAAATGCTGATAGTTGTAGAGGGACTTCAGGCCTTTTGTTCAGAGGGTTGCTATGAGTTGTGCTGGACTCGAAGGCAATCAACATCACGAACAACATACATATATCTTATGATAAGCTATATTACATAGTATGGAATTTATTCATAAAAGCTAATTTCTGGAGAAAGATTGTCTCTTAGGAAAAAAAAAGGCAGAATGTGTGCTGAATGGTGAGAGCAGAGGCCCACGGACCTGCAGGAGCCGCTCAATGATTGAACTGGGGCAGCCTGGAAACAGCCAGCGCCTCTATGTTTGCAGCACTGTCTAGGCATCCATTCAGTTTCACTTCTTCAATAGCAGTAATGCTGACACTATCAGGAACCCTGATGGCATAGTGGTTAAGCACCACTCAACTGTTAACAGAAAGGTCAGTAGTTTGAACCCAGCAGCTACTCCATGAGGGAAAGCTGAGGAAGTCTGCTTCCATAAAGATTTGCAATCTTGAAAGCCCTATGAGGCAGTTCTTCTCTGTCATCAAGGTCCTGACTCAAAATCAATGGGTAGATTATGCTTTTCCTCTGCGTTTCCACTCTTGGGAGCCATCGCTGCTATTCCTTTTGGACCGGGTTGAATGACTCGTGTGTCCTCTTTTCTGCTGCACCTTTCTGTAATAGCACTTAGCATTTTTTTGTGCTTCAAATGATATTTTTCTTTCCCTGCTTCCCTGCTGTGGGGTCTTGGAATACAAAGTTGGCCTCTCTCTTTTCTTCCTTCCTTCTTGCTTTTCTTCCATCCTTCTCTCCCCTTCTACTCGGTAAAGACTTGGCATTCAGTACGTGCTCAACAGAAGCTTGCAAAAAACATGCTCAAAGGATGCTTATGAAGACGAATATTTTCCCTGGATTCAGAGGAGTAATTTTTCACTTCTTATTTTTGGAACAGAAAGATGATTACACATTTCCCAAACATCCATAGACTGACAAAACTCGCACAGCACCCGCTTCAAAAGGGAGTTTAGATGAACAGACACTTCACCAAAGAAGATATTCAGATGGCCAACAAACACGTGAAGAAATGTTCAAAATCCCTAGCTCTAAGAGAGATGCAAATCAAAATAATTATGATATATCTATCATATCACCCCAGTAAGAATAGCAAAATTTAACAGAACAGCAAGCAACAAATGCTGCTGAGGTTGTGGAGAAACTGGAAACGTTATTCACTGTTGGTGAGAGAGTAAAATGGTGCAACCACTGTGGAAGGTGATGTGGCACTCTCTCAAAAAGTGCAAATAGAGATACCATTTGAACCAGCAATTCCACTACTGGAAATATACCCCAAAGAGACCATAACTGACACCCAAGCAGATATATGCACATCCATGTTTATCGCAGCTTTGTTCACAATAGCAAAGAGTTGGAAACAACCTAAGGGCCTAACATCAAACGAATGGATAGAGCTGCATTGAAAAATGAGGAACTCATCAAATATTATTCAAAATAGGTGACCCTGGAGGACTTATGCTGAGTGAAATATCTCTATCACAAAAGGACAAATACTGCATAGTGCCACTGTTGTTAAACAGGACTGACATCTGGGTTGGGGGGGAGACTGAGAAATATGGGATAAATAATGTATACTACATTGAAACAGAGGAGGGAGAGAACTGTTTAAAAGGGATATGTGATTATAGGGAGCTCTGGTGGCCTAGTGGCAAGAAGCTGCACTGCAATCTCAGAGGTACGCGGTTTGAATCCATCAGATGCTCTGCTGGAGAAGGAGGGGCAATCTCCTCCTGTACCAGTCAGATTCGATTTGACGGTACATGCACAAAAATATAATAAAAAAAACAATTTAAAAAGGGATATGTGATTAGGTATTTTTGTCATGACAGGATTTCAGAATGAAGGTTGCATAGTGGAGTGGACCTGGGGGAGGGATTGTAAAACAATGAAAAAAATTTCTCTTTTACTTTTCAAAGAGAAGAGTGTACTGGGGGTGGGGAGTAGGAGAAAAGTGCAATAGTGAATAAATGGAAATCCAAAGTCTCTGTAAATTTTCATTAAAATCGATAATAATTTTTTTATTAAAAAAGGGAGTTTAAGAGCTCAGAAAGGGATGTGTGGGCAGCCACATGTTGGGATGGTGGGCATGCAATTTCTTTGCATGGCTCTCAAGCCAATACTCACAGATTGTCGTAGCTCCTGGGCCATAGGTGTACTTGGTGTTGTGCAGGGTGGCAAGCTCTTTAATCGTGGCTTTAGCCAAGGCATTCTGCAAAAGAACCAGCAAATACACAAGGAAGTAAGCAGAAACATTCACTGCCAAATGGTCAAAGAACAAATATCCCAGAAGTTAGTTTTCAAGATATTAAAAATGTTTACGTCACAATTCAGGTTAGTAGACTTATTCAACTATCTCACAGGAGTTAAACTTGGTCCCTGCGACCGTGTATGATAGAGAGTTCTAGCTTTCCAAGACTATTTAGGATTTGAGTGATATCAGTGAAATACTATTTCCCGTTACTCTCCTGCAGAAACTCATTTTGAGCTTCTCTCTGTCACATATAGAACATATTATGTGCCGGTACCATGTGTCCATTTCTGACGCTGTCAGTGACTTTTCTTGGTTCTGTCTGGGTCTTATTAAGGCTTGTCACTTGATGATCAATTGTTCATTGGAATGATAAGACTTATAGGTATTGTTGCCCTGTTGTTGTTGTTAAGTGCCATCAAGTCATAGATGACTCATAGCAACCTTATGAATGAAAGACCTGAACATTTGTATAACTCTCATTGTTTCTCTAAGTTCATAGAGTTTCTGGAAGCAAGCTATTTTGGAAGTGGATGCCACTCCTGCTTCTAATCCTGCTTTAATTGGGAAGCTCCACCAAACAATGTCCACCATGGGAAACCATTATCACATTTACACATCTGTGTTTCAGGGTTCAGCATCACAGAAACCACACTTACCTCTGTACAGCAAACTGACAGATCAGTGCTATACCACTGAGAAGAATCTTTGACCAAAAACAATTAAAACCAAACCTGAGGGCTGCAGATTAAACTTACCCACCCTAATGTCCTTCAATCATTTTAAATCTTTCTTTTTTTATAATGATTTTAATGAACATTTACAGAGAATTTGGATTTCCATTCATTTATTGCTGCACTTCTCTACCCGCCGAGTCCTCTCTCCCCGCTCCCCAGTTCGCTCCTCTCTTTCAAAAGTAAGACTCCCTCCCTGATACACAATTCCCCACCCCCCAGCACTCCTCCCACCGCCCCAAGTACATTCCACTATGCAATCTTAATTGTGGACTCTTGTGTTAAATCTTTATTGCGGTGACATCTAGGGTCTTCCTCTAAATACTGCTTTAGCCATTTGGATAGATTTTATTTTCTTTTTATTTGCATAGGACATAGCTCTTCTAGTCCTTTGGGGTTCTTATTTATTTAATGTTAGTTCAGGTTGAAGAAATGGTGCTATAGTGAACGCGTCATCTTTCTAGGGACACTTTTTATGGTGTAGTAAAATGTCAATGTGCATTAGGCACTAGATTATGCCCATGGATTAGTTGGGCAAATCTATCTCATTTCTGGAGATTGTATGAGAAAAGCAGGAGTCAAGAATGTCTGTAAAGTTGTGCAAGAGAAGACTGTCTATTTATTCAGGACAAGCAAACAAATCATAAATAAAAAGCAAACAAATATTTTAAAAATCCAACAAAATAAAATTAAAAGCAAACCACTGATTATAAAGTTGAGAGTAAATCCTGCTAAGTGGATTTAGGAAGGAACACAGAAGATGAAAAACAGGAACTAGCAATTTTAGGGAGGAGTGGTGTCTCCAACCAGAGTTAAAGAGATCATGTCAGTCATAACAATGTCTATCTACTCTAGCATTCATAACTTGTACATTTGAAAATTATTATGAAAGAATTATATTTCTATTAACATAAAAGATTCAAGGTTTTGGGGACAGGGGAAATGAACTGAAGACAAGTGTGAGGGCGGGGCCTAGAGAAAAAAAAAGTCAGGTTCTGTTGGATCAGTGATTCTGCACCTGGAAAATGAGCCAGTGAGTTAGCTGATTGCCTTTGGCAAATGAAATGAAAGGGTACGTTAGTAGAAATCATCCAGTTTGCTTACCTAAAGAGCCATCACCTCATCAGTACTCTAAATCTCTAACAGATGATTCTGAATGTAAATCTGAGCATCATGAAATGCCTGTAGCTTGGATTAAGAGAAGACTTTAGCCTGGAGACTTGCTTACAATAAGATTGAACAGCAGCAGCTGTTCAATACATTCAGATCATAATTACAGAGATTCTAAGCAGTAAGCAAAAGCATATATTATTTCATGAGTTTGGAAATCAAGGACTTGAACTTTAAAATGCTCATGTTATTGATCTAAAATGCTGAGAACAGGAAGTTCCCAAAAACTGATTACATAAATTCTATGGATCAGGACAAAAAAACCCCCCACATTATTTTAAGTTCACAATTATTTTTCAGTTTTCTGATTAACAGTTGCCAAATGGAACATTAATATTTTGGGTCCCACAATCCTTAGACATCTTAGAAACACATACATGCTCATGGTCACTTTCACATAAAGTTCTACTAAACTGGTTTCAAAGTTCTTCTAAGTGGTCTAGCACTGGCCTGTGCATTGCTGTACAGAGGTAACTCGTGGTTTCTGTGATGCTAAACACTGTGACACTGGTGTGTCAAATGCGTTAATGGTTACCCATGGCGGACAGTGTTTGTTGGAGCTCCTAATTAAAACAAGCTTGGAAGCAGGAGGGGCATCCACTTCCATAAATAGCTTGCCTCCGGAAACTTGGAGAAACGATGACTTTTAAAATCAGAAAGAGCCAATCCTTGGAAAAGGACATCAATGCGTGGAAAGGTATGTTGTGGAAAGGAAAGGAAGGTCAGCATAAGAGAGGAAGACCCTCAACGAGATGAGTTGATACAATGACTGTAGCAATGGGTTCAGGTATATCAGAGGTGACGAGGCTGACCCAGGACAAGGCCAGGTTCAGACCCGTTGTGTGAAGGGTTGGAATCAGTTGCAGTCAATTCGACGACATATAACAACAAGGGAATTCCTACTCTGTAAAAATGAACTTACTCTGATTACATCACCAACCTCAATTTTCCTTGCATAAGTAAGAAAGAATTAGAATTATAATATCAAAATATGAAATACAGCTAGTTTCATAACCAGAATGAATTATGGCTAGTTCTCTGGCTGTAAACAATTGCTTTTTCAAATCTGTATTCCCAAGACAGCCAGTTCCAAGCTGGCTTTCCAAGGGGCCCATCTAAATAAGACAATAGGTCCAGTTTTCAGAGCTTTTCTCCTTGAGTGATTATTAGCAAGGAGAGCTGGAGGATGATGGGTCTTTAAAGAAGGTGATGCTTCTTCAAAGGGAAAGAAGTTAATCCTTGATGTTCTTTTTTTGGTTTTAAAGTTTTCATTCTGGAATTCAAATGTCCTGTGTTTAGAAATACAATGAATGCTCTCCAGCATTTCAGTCCAAATGTTTTTCATGTTGGAACTCATCCCTGGAAATGCTCATTCCTAAGCATTTCTGTGCTCCCACCCAAATTCATCCACCCCTATCAGAACTAACTCTTGACTTCATCACCTGTCACGCTTCCAGGTGGTTTTTTAGTACCAATAAATACACTGAGAACCTCAGAGCTTAATCAATACACAGAAGTTAAAGAGATAATAATGTTATAACCATCTTATCTAGGGTTTACAACTTTATGTAATTGAAACTAACTCTGAAAAAAAATTTAGCATTTTTACTAACTATAAATAATAACTCAAGGTTTTAAGAGGGGAAAAGAATGAAAGGAAAGTCCGAGAAAGGGAGATAGAACAGGAACACTAATTCTTTAGGGTTAGAGAGTCTGCCTTACAGAAAAAAAGAACAAGAGGATTCTTCTGATGAACGGCAAGTTAAATTTACAATAGTAGAAAATATCAAGTTTACCTACAAGAGGAAGGATCATCGCATCAGTATTTCACACCTACAGAAGATGATATTGAATGGACCCTAAGCATCAGCCCTGCTGGTGTAGTGTACAATGTTGAGCTGCTAATTAAAAGGTTGGTACTTTGAACCCTGTAGCTCTTCTGTGAGAGACATCTTGCAATCTTCTCTCTCTTTGAATGACAGTGTAACTCCTTACCTACCAGAGTCACCAGAGGTCCCTATACATACCATTAGGGCCACACAAAATGTATCAGTTTACCTTTTCTCTAACCACGTTTTCTAACCAAAAATTACCAGTTTACCTCTTTTCTATCTTCTTTAACCACGGTCAGTGAAAGAGATGAAAACCTTCAACAAGATGACTTTACACAGTAACTGCAGTAATGGGCTCAAGTACGACAGCAATGCTACTTCCTAAATAACAGGCCTCCAGAAACTCTATGAACTTTGATGGATGTCCTTAATAGTGGAGGAGCTTCAGGCCTTTTGTTCATAGGGTCGCTATGAGTCGTGCTCGATTTGAAGGCAACCAACAACAACAACAACATGTCAGCAATGATAAAAATGACACAGAACAGGACAGGGTTCAGATCTGTCGACTTGACAGCACCTAACAACAACAGCAACAACAACACCAACCAACTCTGTTCCAGACACGTGAAGTGAGATTCTAGTGCTTTGTAAACCGTCACAGGCATAATAGGGAAATAGGTGCTTGTGCTTTGCCTTTGAAGCAATATCTAAAATGGATGTTAGTTTATAGAGAATGCTATTTTGTTATATTATGTAGGTAACTGGTGTACATTGACTACTCATTTTGTATCCTCACCATATTGCCTAGTGTCTAACACATAACTGGGCAGGGGAGACTTGATTTTGGGATAAAGGGGCGAGGCTTGGAAGCAGGTGACCACTGGTGAACTGTCCAGGGGCTATCTTGTGACACCCCTGCGTGCAAATGTGGGGCTGTGGGGAGGGTGGTAGTGCCATAGAGTGATTGTTGGTTGATAGATTGTTACATTTGGACATTGACCTGTGTTCTGCACTATTTCTTTACATTGATTAAAAAAACCCCAACAATTATGCCAGTGGACCATTTTATGTCCGTTATCTTCAAAATGAAGCAACACAACTGTAAGAGGAGTTATTAATCAACCAGAATACCGTGTTTTAAATGTAGATTGCCTTAACAAAAATCCATGGCATCGATGTGAGTCTTTTCTCTTGAAGAGTTTAAACGATTTCACAAATGTTATTC